AACAGTCACCAGTAGCTTCTCTTGAGGGGTCAGTAAGCCAGGTGGGTCCTGGTGTGTATTCATCTACTGTCAGCACCCATTGCTCTAGAAACCTCTATTTCTTTCAGAAAATAGGGGATTCTAAAAAATACTGTTGCAAAGGAACTACTACATCTGTTGATTTAACACTGATGTCTACAAAAAAAGTTTCAATGGCCTTTTGGACAAGACAGATCAATCCCTTCTCAACCAGATCCAGGCTTTTCCTATAAAAGAGGGAGGACATTCATCCCTCCACAAGTTAGCTCTTTCTATATTATGCCAGCCCTAAAAGCAAGCATTAAGTTGAACAAAGTTTTACCTCTTTACAACTAAAATCTTTAGATGTGGTTCTGTTCTCTGGAGCTATACAGATGAAGTCTTTACCCTAACAACAGTCATGTTTCTTCTTTAATTTATTCAGTCTCTTTATGTCTATTCCCATTCTTTGCAAGGAACAAAAAGTCTAGATTTTCAATTTATGCTTGAAGATGTATAGCAAGGAACAATAAAAATAGTCAGAAAGCTGGGTGCCAGTGGCTCATGCCTGTAATCCTAGCTATTCAGGAGGCTGAGAGCTGAGGATCACTGTTCAAAGCCAGCTGGGGCAGGAAAGTCCCTGAGACTCTTGTCTCCAATAAACCACTAGAAAACCGGAAGTGGCGCTGTGGCTCAAGCTGTAGAGTGCTAGCCTTGAGCTGAAGAGCGCAGGGATAATGCCCAGGCCCAGAGTTCAAGCTCCACGACCGACAAAGACAAAAAGAAAAAAAAAATGTAGAGCATCATTACTTATGTGTCCTCATCTCTAATGAGAACAGTAACCAAAAATGGTGGCCTTAGAGTAGTGTGGTTTGTTTCCCTTTTTCATGTGAATATATGTGTGTGTGTGTGTGTGTGCACGTGCGCTTGTGTGCATGCATGCACGCACATGTGCACACATATGCTGGTACTGGAGCTTAAATTCAGGGCCTCATATTCTTGCTTATCTTTTCTGTTCAAGGCTGGCACTTTACCACTTGAGTCACACCTCTACTTCTGACATTTTTGTGGTTAATTGGATATGAGTTCCTAAGAGTTGTCTGCCTGAGCTGGCTTTCAACCTTGTTCCTCAGATTTCAGCCTCCTCAGTAGCTAGGATTACAGGCATGATCTGCTGGCATCTGGCTCAAGGATAGTGTAGTCTATAGATGTTTATAAAGGACTCTGTGGTCCTCTCCTATGAGTTCTCCAAACATCTCTATATATTTCTTAGATGGGATCTAGCACAATTCTTTTCCTAGCAGAATTCTTAATCATGAAGCATTTTCTGGATTCTAGTGTTTTGTGACAGGTTCTGGGAAATTAAATGGTTTCATACTGTGAGGACAAAACTTGAATTAATTTTGAAAGAATTTCTTGATTATTATTGGATCCTGGAACTGGTGGCTGAGCAGGCCCACCCTATTTCCTTCCCCCCTTCCCTATCTGCTCCCTTTTATGTTAGCAGAAAACCAACTCCCACCTCTCTGGAAGTATTGAGTTATAGGCCTGCGATTTAGGGAACCTGGGAGTCTAGAGCCTTCCCCTTCCCAGGAGTCTATTTTTATGGATCCTGATTGTGGCACTGTTGCATGGAGGGTACAGCCTAGCTGGAACAGGAGGTAACTGAGAGCAAGAGCCAAGAAGAGAGGGGGTTAGTTGATGCAATTATTTTTGGCAGGAGTTGGAACCAAAGCAGCAGGAGAGAGTAAGTTTTAAGACTCTCTGGCAAAGTAACTTCCTAATTTGTTACTGAGGATGTGTAAAAAAGTGATTAGTGGGTCTCTATATTTATCATGATTACTCACAAATATGTAATTTACATAATATATACAGCACATTAAGTACTATGTCACCTTATATAATGTGCATATGTATAATGTATATGTATGTTATGTAATGTTAGTCTGGAGGCTCTTCCAGGATCTGCCAAGTATTTCCTAATTTATTTGGCGATTTTAGCATATCTTTTTTTTTCTGTCTGTGGGAAGAACTATCTTGAGAAGAGTTGATCTCTAACCTGAGCATAATCCTCCTCCAAGGTCTATATCCACTGTCAACCTGCTGGGGAAACCTCCCAACGATCAAGCCACAATGAGACACAACTCCTGGCCCATCACTCCAGGGAGAACACAGTGCACTGCAGATCTCCTGTTTTACTGTTTTTATTGCAGGGGGTGGGGACAAGGGTTGGAAGCATGGAGGCAGGTACCAACATGTCTGTAGCATGGTAAGAATCAGAATAAGACAGGAAATAAGGGGCTGGGCCCTCCCAGGACTACCTAACTGTGAGGCTTCAAAAAGTCACCAAAACCTCATGAAGCCTCATTCTCCTTGTTACAATGCAGATAATAGTATCTTCCCTGCTAACCTCAAAGTTTGCTTTGTGTGTGGCGGGGGAATGGGAAGAGAGGAATCACTATGATGAGGTACTCCACAATAAGAAACCACAGTCACGGTGTTTAAAAGATGATTTGCAAGGTAAAATTCAACACAAGACTTACTAAAGTTACCAAATGAGGAATGCAAGTCCACTGAAGTGTGTTGCACACTCGGTGCCACTAAGGAGGAATGGCAAATGTCTCTCAAGTGACATTCATGTCTTGTTCATTAGGGGAGAACAGAGAAGAGCCAATCTCTGTACAGCCTCTCCCTCCGTGAGACTTTCGAGTTTCTGATAATCAGTTTCACTTGTTGATTGTGTTGTGTCCCAAAAAGCTTCATCTTGAGAGATCAGAACTGAAACACACTCAAAAGTGTCTAGAAATGTCTTAGACTCAGTGAGCCAAACCCAAACTTGCCTTAGTTTCACAATCAAGTGGCTTCCAAGATGGTACCTGCCTTCATTCTGAAGCTTGTGTCCCCAGCACCAAGCTTATAACCTGGAAAAATGCTCTTCAGATGGCCTGGGTTTCTCCTTGCTCAGCATTTTACATTAGATTGAGGCAAGATGGTCCCAAAACTCAATGCTAGACATCAGTAGATGATTGCTTTCTTCAGAGGTTGGTTCAATTTGTATACACATTCTTAATAGTCCACTCCTGTCCAAATCTTCTGGTTCAATGCAAGGAGCTTAAAAGCAGCTCAATGGAGCAATGTCCAGTGAACCTGGGTTTCCTTTTGAGGAATCTGAGAGGATGGAGGCCCAAGTGAAGCAAAGGGCAAAGCTAAGTGTTACTCTCTGCAATGAAACTCCACACAGTTGCCCTTGGGAAGAAGGGCAATGCTGGCACCAACTAAATGAAGCCACCTGAGCACTGCTGAGGCTCCCTGTTCTTGCTGGCAGCACTCTCCTTGCAGCTCTCCACTGAGGTCACTCCTGTTTCCAAACTAAGAAACTCTGGTGACTACAATAAGGTGATGTAATGGAGTTCAATCTGATGTTCTGTCTAGTTCCTTCAACCTCACATCAACTTCTCTCCAGTTCAGGCCTGAGAGAACTTCTGGAAGCATCCTAAGGTCCTTATTTTCTCATTTGGGCTCATCTCTTTTGTGTGCATACTGAATGTTCATTCTTTCCTGACCATCTGGATCCAAGTGGAATCACTACTCAGCAACCAGAAGTGACTCTATTCCCAGATGTGTGGCTTCTTTTGTCTATGGAATATCTTGTTGGAAAGTCAAGGTATTATGGAGAAGTTGCTTAGCTTTTCTGACACTCCTTTTCCTTATCTGGCAAATGGAAGAGCGAATCCTATTCAGCACATCGATGTCATTCTGAGGATCCAGAATATTTCTCTTCATGATTCAGAACGACTTTCATTTCCCTTCAACCTTATGATAGGCTCAGGAAACTATGTCTTGATGATGAAATGATGGAATGGGGGAATAAGAACTGTTTTTTTTTCTTCTCTACTTTCTGTTCCCATATTATACATGTTTACTTCCAATCAGGAAAAATCCAGCAGTAAATAAATACTTATATATTATATATAAATATATATGCTTACATATATACATACACATGACCAAAAAGGTCCTTTAGGACATACTCTGAGCATGGGAGGTGCCAAGAATCAGAAGGAACCACCCCATATTACTGTCTTCCCGTTTCCCCAGGGACTTGGCTGACTTCTAGAATAGTCTGCCACCAGGGCTTGGAGCTCATATAGGAAACACGTTTTGGCTCAGGAAAAAAAAAAAAAGATGTGTGTGTGAGTGTGTGTGTATTTTTAAATAGTTTCTTTCCTTTTTACACAATATTATAACATCAATTTGAAAAATAAATCTCAAGTTTCTTCACTTTCCCTCCCAGGTGTTCACAGAACTAAGAAAATAAATACCACACCTAAGTCATGCTGCCCAGGCAGCTCTGGGGGCTCTTGGAGCCAGCTTTAAACAAATAATACAGTTACCAGGAGAAGCTTCTGGAAATGAACAAGTGCCCACTGACAGCACAGAGAACCAACAAATGAAACACAGCTTTCCACAGTCTCTCTGCCTTGTCAGCAAGTTTGGGAGAAGTTGTCACTTGAAGGACAACGAAGAAACCATCCTGTGCTTCCTGAGTCCTGCCAGGACTCCAAAGGCTATTTTGTCTCTCTGTACAGAAGGCCTTTTGTGAAAGCTTTCTGGAATGGAGCTCTGCCCCTTGACCACATCCGATTTCACTGTAGGTAGAAAACTTGCAGCCTGCTTCTCACAAGTGTTCATGAGCAACCTTGCAGGACTGGTAAAGAGAAAGGGAGATTTCTCCTTTCATCTGAGAGTCCTTCGAAAGACCTGTGGGAATGTGAAGGTTGCAACATGGGCCAACCACCCTTGTAGACCTTACTTTCATTCAAAATGTTCCATGGGCACTGGCTCTTTAGAGGTGGACACATTTTTGAAATAGGTAGACTGTATGGCATGGTGTACTTTTCTTTCAGAAGAGTGGCTTTGCTTCCACTGGTTAGAGAAGTGTGTGTGTGTGTGTGTGTGTGTGTGTGTGTGTGTAATTAGAGTTTCTTTTTTTTCTCTCTTGGTTAAGCTGGCATTTGACACACCTCTTTTGAACGGCTTTTCCTTCTCAGTGAAAAGAAGCTGCTTTTCTGGGGAGGCCCCATCATCATAGGTGCTTGGTTCTTGTGAGTAATTTTAATCTGAAAGCAAAGAGGCCAAAATGAGTTAGTGGCAATGCAAATTCCAATAGCAGAATGGAGAGTGAGTCCCAGACAAAAAAAAGAAAGCCAGCTTGGGGTTGGAAGGAGCCCCATGCAGAAGGCCAACTGTCCTTGAATGGCTTTGAAATTGGCAATTTGACCCTGACTGGGCCTAGAGTTTGGCACTGCTGGAAGCAAGGGGCGGAAACACTAGAGAGAGACAGGTGTGAGCTTCCCACGTGGTGATCACCTCGCACCTGTCTTATGTCCTTGCTATTCATAGACTATCAGAATGTCACAGCCAGAGGAGACCTGGGAACCTTCAAGTTCTGCCCCTCTGTTGGAAAGATACGAAATAGGAACCCCAGGCTCTATAGGACTTAGATTAACCTAAATTCACACAGGGAGGGGACAAACAGCTGGAGCCAGCCTTCAGGTTCCCAGCCTCAGGTCCTGCCCAGGCACGGAAAAGATGTCAACCAGCTGACTTGGAGGGTTCAGTCTGACCACCATCCAAGCAACATCCAGTGGACAGTCCCCAAGTGAGTCCTTTAGGTGTTTCCTCTTTTCTTAACCTCCAGGAAGACCCTACTGTCTTTGAAAAGCATTTTTTTTTAAAAAAGGTTTTGCCAGGCAACTATAGCTCATGCCTGTAATCCTAGCTACTCAAGAAGCTGAAATCTGTGGATCACAGTTCAAAGCCAGCCCAGGTAGTGTTTGAGATTTTTACCTCCAATTATATACACACACACACACACACAGAGCTGGAAGTGGAGCTGTGGCTGTAGTAAACTGTTAGCCTTCTATGAAAAAGCTGAGGGACAGTTCTCAGGCCCCGAGTTCAAGCCCTAGGACTTGAACAAAGAATAAGAAATTGTTTAAAAAGTATTTTCTTCTGTAAACTTTCAGTCAATTGTAAGTGAAAGACACCGATTCTCATTTTTGCCTTTCTTTCCAACCTTAGCCTTATGACATGGCTTCAAAATGCTTAATCCTTATTTAAATGTGCCCTGGTGACACTGCCACCTCTGTTATCTGTCATCTCCTGTAAGAGTCTGTCAACAACATTTACCAAGAATCATACATGGTCAGAGTGGGCAGATGGTGTAGAAATAGGATGTACTTAGGATACAAAGACCTGGGTGTGGGTCTCCAAAGATTTGAGTGTGGGGCCAAGCATTTCCACTCTTTTTTTTTGGTGCTAGTACTAGGGCTTGAACTCAGGGCCTCCAATTCTACTTGGCTTTCTCACTCAAGGGTGATGCTCTGCTACTGAGCCACAATCCAACTTTTTGATGGTTAATTAGAGATAAGATTCTCATGGATTTTTTCTGGTTTAGAGCCAACATCGTCAGATCTCAGATAAGCTAGGATTACAGGTACAAGCCACCCATATACCCAGTAGGACTTCTGATCTTTTGCTGTGAAACTTTACCAAATTATTTAACCTTCAGAAACAGTGCTTGGTGAATGGTAAAAGGAGAATATTAATGTTTGTCATGTTTTTTTTCCCCACAAAAAATTCATATGATGGGCTATCAGTGAAAGCCAATCTTCTCTATTTGAGAAGAAAGAGGAAAATAGATGTGAAATGAAACAGAATCTAGAAACTCATAGATCTATGAGCCCAGTCTTACAGTTGTTACCATATTATTGGAAATCACAGAACGAATACAGAAAAACAGAGAATACTTGAGAGAGACAACCCATCAACAAGTTGCAGTTAGTGTGGGATAAATCAAGTGGCATTGTAAAGAAGCTGGGTAAAGGAATGAGAAGAGGCTAATGGGAGAAACTGGAAGATTTTAAGATTTGAAGGAATGGAAGGAGAGTATAGACAGAGAGGAGAGGGGCACTGATGAGAGGAGCCACATATAATCAGGTTGAGTAGGGGCTAAAGGATGAGATAGATAGATACTGTGGGGCAGTTTGTTGGTACAGGGCTTTAAAGGGGGGAGATGGCAAGATTGGGATTATTTGAGGTAAGGAAGAACCATGAAAGGTAGCTGGAGAAGGGCCCTGGTGGGCTCATGCCTGGAATCCTAGCTACTTAGGAAGCTGAGATCTGAGGATCGCAGCCCAAAGCCAAACTGAGCAGGAAAGTCCATGAGAGGCTTTTTTTTTTTTCCCTGTTGGTTGTGGGGCTTGAACTCTGGGCCTGGGCTCTGTCCCTGAGCTCTTCAGCTCAAGGCTAGCGTTCTACCACTTGAGTCATAGAGCCACTTTGGACTGTTTCTACTTATGTGGTGCTGAAGAATCGAACCCAGGGCCTCAGGCATGCAAGGCAAGCACTCTACCACTGAGCCACCTTCCCAATCCTCCATGAGACTCTTATCCTCAATAAGTCACCAAAAAGCCAGAAGTGGAGCTATGGCTCAAGTTGTAAAGCACTAATTGAGTGAAAAAGCTAAGAGAGAACACAAAGCACTGAGTTCAAAGCTCAGTACCAGCAAACATAGACAAAAAAGATGAAGAATAACAATGAAAAAGCAAAAAGGGGCTGTGATTACCCTTCATCAAACTGGGAATTGATCCCAAATGAATCTGTACCAACCAAATGATTAAAGTCATCTTTATCTTCCACTGGTTTCCATGAATCTACCATCATTTACTGTCTCTAGTAGGAGTCTTTTAGTCTTGTCATTTCTTCCCAAATTTCTCATTTCTCTGTCTCAAAGGTATCAAAACTGCCTGTTCTACTTCTTGTTTTCATTTTCTTATCAGGAGACATCTCTATAAAATTTCCATTAAATGTTTATGTTTTTCTTTTATTAATATGACTTGTGTCAGCTTAATTCTTGGGCCCACTCAGAAATCCTAAGAAAATAGAGGGAAAAATTTCCTCCTTTATAGGTTGATATAGAAACTAAATATATTACATGAAGAAAATGGGTTTGGAAGAAATTATTCTACAGCTGTTGTCGAGAATGAGCTGGTTTGGGAATATCTGGCTAAGAGGATGAAAGTATAAGGCAGGTTCACATTTATAAGACTTTAGGAAATAGAAAGAAAATAATGGGGGCTGGCTCAGTGGTACAGTGCTTATCTTGTATGTATGAGCTCCTGGGCTCAATTCCTCAGCATCACATAAACAGAAAAGGCTGGAAGTGGCTCTGTAGCTCAAATGGTAGAGCACTAGCCTTGAGCTGAAGAGCTGAGGGGCAGCACCGAGGCCCAGAGTTCAGGCCCCACAACCAACAACAACAAAAAAAAAAAAAAAGAAAGAAAAAAGAAAAGGAAAATAATGGAACTAGAAGACATTGTGCACAACGCGTATAGTCTGGTGATGGATGCTGAATATGAGGATCATATGATCCTCATATTCAGCCTGGAGATTTTGAAGGTGAGCCTGTCTTTCTGTTTTATGGTAGTGGCCAGAGGAACAAAGCAAGAATTCATCAAGTAACATTTTGTGTTGTCTTACTGTAGGTATTATGTTTGCTCCACAAGTCACGGATGTGAGGCATAGCCTGGATACTCCAACTACGCTTATTTGGGGCATGTCATTTAGTATTCACAGAAGGTAATGTAACCAACAGCCGGGGCTTAAGCCTGTAATCCTAGCTACTCAAGAGTCTGAGATTGTCCATGAGGCTCTTTTCTCCAATTAGTAAGCAAAGAGCTCAAGTGGTATAGTACTAGCTTTGAACAGAAAAAGCCAAACGAGAATGTGAGTCCCTGAGTTCAAATCCAGTACTCATACACACAGACACACGCAAAGATGATAGTGATGTGTGGCTCATTCTTTTGGTATCAGTCTTCACTGAGACCTGAGCATTCCTTGAGCCAGTACCGTGTCTGCTGGCAGAATGTGCTGGAAAGAATTTATGAACATAGCTAAGAGGAAAGAGTGTGTGCTGGCACAGGAGAGGGCTCTGTTGGGAGGCCTGCATTTTCTGTACATAGAGCTCCATTACTTTTGGATGACGGAGAACCCTTGTTTCTCCTTTCTCTGTCTCTAGATGAGCTAGATACTTTGTGGTAAGCGCCTCCAAGGCAAAGAAGAAATGAAACTCAAATTCCTCTGAATTTGGTTTCTCAGCAGTTTTGCTAAAAGTCTTAGATAGGGTGGGAATTTGGAACTCCTAGGCAATATGGTATTTTGGGTCATGTTTGTGGACTCTGAATACAAATAACTGAGAGAGGTATGATATCATATCCTCATTTTAAGACAAAGAAGTTTTGGTCTCTTACCCTCAAATTAGGAAAGGCTAGTGGATGAATTAGTTAAGATTCTATTTGAGGCTGAGCTCCAGAGGCTTATGCCTGTAATCCTAGCCACTCGGGAGGCTGAGGATCAAGGTTCATCCAGCCTAGACAGATACATCTGAAAGAGTTATTTACTTATTTATTTTTTTGGGTCCGGTCATGGGGCCTGAACTCAGGGCCTGGGCGCTGTCCCTCAGCTCTTCAGCTCAATGCTAGCGCTCTACCACTTGAGCCACAGCGCCACTTCCGGCTTTTTTCTTTTTGCTTATGTGATGCTGAGGAATTGAACCCAGGGCCTCAGGCATGCAAGGCAATCGCTCTATCACTGAGCCACCTTCCCAGCCCCTGAAAGAGTTATCTTAACTAGCAAGAAGCTAGAAGTTAAACTAGTACAAACTCTTTCTTTCTCTCTCTCTCTCTCCTACACATATACACATACACATACACAAAGAGTTGCTAGGATAAAACACAATGAAATTGTTAGGTTGTGGCATCTCTTTCTATTTTATAAAATGGTAGCTTTTTGACTTTGTCTCTTCTATGGGATAGTTTACCTAAACATTTATTTCCTGATAATATGCAATAATCCAGCAGTAAGATCATGTTTTGAGCTCATTTTGTATGTCATTTCTTTGAAAGCATTTTCCATCTCATTAATGGTAATCAAGATTTTCCTTCATTTTCTTAAGATGCTCAAGCTTATTAAAGATGATTATACATGTTATCTTATAATTAAATAAAGACATTGTCACATCTATATTTAGATTTTATGTTACGTTTATTGTGTTTTTCCATTTTAATACCCTTGATATCTGTTTTTCTCTTCTAAGAATTAGATTTTCAGTAACTCAAGACTATAATCCTAGCTACCAGGAATGTGGAGATTGAGAATCATGGTTTGAGGTCAGCCAGGTCATAAAAGTTCATGACTCTTCAACTTAATCAATGGCTAGATGCAGTGATATATGTCTGTCTTCCCAAACTTGGGGGAAGTATGATATCTGAGAATGGAAGTGCATACCTGACATCCCAGTGACAAAGGGAGGCACTCATAGGAAGATTCCAGTCCAGGCCAGTTCTATCTTGAAAATAACCAACACCAAAAGAGACTGGTAGAAGGGTAGAGAGCCTGTTTACCAAGTCCTGAGTTCACACTCTAGTTTGAACTAAAAGTTCCTCCTCAACATTAGATTTTCCAACAAAATTACATTTCATTTGCTTATTTATTTAATCTTTGTCTAATAATTTCTGGTTTTATTGCTTTTGGACAAAGAGTATGACCTTTATGATTTCTGCTTCTGGATTTCACAAGGAGCTTCTTTATTTTAAACTAGTTTATGACCTATTTTAATCAATCCTCAATGAATTCTTGAAAAAAATATGATACAGCCGATTGTCAGACAGGAAGGGAGGTTTCACCAGAAAACAACACCTGTCAGGACCTTGATCTTGGGTTCTAGCTTCCACAAAAGTGAGAAAATACATTTCTATTGTTTAAAGCACCTGTTTGTGGTATTCGGTTATGGTAGTCCAAGAAGACGAATCTACCTTTACACATGGATTTGTGTACTTCACACCATAAAACCCTTGGATCACATTTTAACAAATATATTGCAAGAGAGTGGAGTGAGGATGGAGGAAGTGTTTGACTATTTTGAAAACCAGTACTTGGAATTAAGTAAATAAGTATTTAAAAACCTTGTCTTTGGATATTGCTGAACTAGGTGGGAAAGAGTTGAATTTCTCCCTGCTCCAAATCTTTTGAATACAGGAGGAGAAAATCAGAGTTTTCAACTCAACTCCATCAAGATGATAAGTACTAGGAATTTTCTCTCTCTTCCCATATTCTAGCAAAGTGGAATTCTATTGCCAGGTTTTGGTGTTGGTACCAGGATTTAAACTCAAGACCTCAAATTTTAGCTTGGCTTTTCCCCTCAATGCTGGCACTCTACTATTAGACCCTCACCTCTAGTTCTGTCTTTATGATAGTTAATTGGAGATAAGAGTCTCTCAGATTTGTCTGCCTGAGCTAACTTCCAATTATGACCTCAGCCTCCCGAGCAACTATTATTATAACAGTGAGCCACCAGAGCCCATCTCTATTACCAGTTTTTGTTTGAGTGCTTCTTCTTCTTCTTCTTCTTCTTCTTC